GGAACCTATCACTACGTACTGGATATGTATATATACATATATTGATATATATATATATGTTTGTTTCCAGGGGGCTTAAGCAAATCGAAGCCACTGGACAGGAAAATCAAGTGGTTGGGTGCTGGTAGTACCCGCGCCATTTTGAAGTTTTTGGGCGTGCTGTGGCTGTGCATTGCAACATTAGCTGTATAGCCACTTCTGATCCTTCACTCCTTCTCGGGAAACAAAAAGCCCGGACCCTTCAATGGAGCCCATTCCTCATTCCTCATGGGCCCTCACAAAGAACCCATGTTGAGGAGCCAAAATAAAAACGGGGCCCTTGAAGTGAAGGAACAAACGAAGCTGTCTACCAGAACAGGTTCCCACAGCGCACTCGAACGAACGAGAGCCACGAAGAGAAGCAGATGTAGACCACTGCTAAAGTTGCATCGGGCATGGTTTTATTTGGGGGGGCGGGGAGGGGAGGCGGGGAGGCAGGTCAGCCCTTAAGGCCTTTAGGGCCCCTCCCTCTTGCCTGTGATTATTAGCCTGAGGAGGAAGGCTCCTTTTGCTCAGGGAAGGACTTGAGATGTTCCATTGTCAGCCAGAAGGTTGCTGGTCCAACCTTGTTTCCCGGGTGAGCGGCCAAGCCGGAGACGGTAGCTGGATGGAGAATTGTGTTACCTTAGCGGTTCGGAACCAGCGAGTCGTCGGTTCCTTAGCTGTTTAATTGGTTTTTAGTTGGTTTTGTGGCTGGGTTTCCATTTTACCCACTAAAAGCTAGACTTTTACCGGATCTGAGGACAGCCCAGTCAACAGATAGGTTGCATTGTGACTGGGAGCCTCCGCTATGGAGGAAAAAAACCGTTGCCCGCCACCGTCCAACCGTCCACACGTAGCTTACCTTTTCTTTGCCAAGCTGCCAGCTCGCGACCAGATGCTGCCAAACGCATCCGATTGAAACAGCTTCCGAGAAACTTGGCGAGGCATGAAGCCGCCTTGTGAAGGGTTTGCTCGCTTATAAAGAACCATTTCCGAAGTTGTGCCATTGACGAATGAGTTCAACATCCAGCACACTATGTGGGGCAGAACCTGGGTGCTATTGGTTGCCAGCCCTGTTCACTTGGATTCATCCGCCTGAATCGACAGCTTGGCTTGCTATCCTTTTCGGTGGAAACACCCCTTCGCCGGCGGTCCTTTCATTGTGCTTCTTGTTGAAACGATGATCAACACATGAATCCCTTTCAAAGGGGGGTCGGAACCCGAACACTTTTGACTACCCCCACGTACCAAGGTACCTATACCCCCACAATTCCATTAACAAAAAAATGTGCAGGTTTCTTGGAATGAAACCATCTCTCGTCTTGGTTTCAGTTGGCTTTCTGCCTTTGGGGTTTGACCCCTTGGAAACAGGTGCCCAAAGTAACTGTCCCAAAGACCGTCCGACTACACAAACTTCCTTTTCTCACTCCCTGAGTTCCGTTTCGAACTTTGTCCTGCAATCAATTTTAGTTGCAAACAAGAGTTGAGACTTCACTCAATCAGAAGGGAGTCTTTTGAACCTCCTTTTGGGTTCCATACGTGTTAACCTGCAGAGTAGTTCATCTGTTTGACCTTGAACTGTTTGGGCCTGGACCATCTGCTGGCCAATCTCCCCAAGTGGGTCAACGACTCGAGAAGCCTCGATTTCTTGTGTTCAATCAAGTTCTTCTTTTGTTTTGAGAGGTCCGATGGTCGGGACCCGATGCGACCGTGCAGGGGAAATCACCGTGGTGTATCAGTACAACGCCGGCTATGGCTGCAAGGGCACAAGAGGCCGGATGCCGCAAAGTCAAGCAGAGAGGTTGGATCTTGACTTCTAATGTTGATCCCGTACTAGTCAACCCCAGTTTGTCAATATGAGGGTGTCAATGGTTTCAGTGGGGAACCATTACTTTTGGAGGTGAACACTCCCTATGACTAAACCGGGGTTGATTAAACTATGCAGTTAAAACAAGCAAATCACCAGCCAAGATTTTCGGTTAACTCATGTGCAAGGGTTTGAGGGTCCAGGTGATGGTTAGGAAGTTGAGCTGCAAGCTGGGCTTGTGGGTCGAAATGCTATCTTCAACTTGGGACCACGGCATTTCGCTACCCGCGCGTACTGTTTGCGACATTTACGCGCGTCACGAAGCTTTGGAGAAACACAAAGGTGCGGCTCGAAATGAAACAAGAGGGGTTGCCCAGGTTTTGGTCCATGTTTCCACTCACCAGGGTTCCATGTTTGGTACCTGTTTTTTGAGCCACATCTTCGGGTTCATTTTGCTTGGGTGTTAGGACTTCAACTTTTTGCCAACAAATTCGGTTTTCCACTAAACCACTAAAATAAATCAACTGTTCCATATCAAACCGCTAAAAGTTAGTCACTTTTCGGAGGGCTTCGCAGATTTTGCCACCGAGTCATGTTAACGTCCACGTGTGCTTTTTGGGCTTTTTGGGCTTGCAGGCTGGCTTCTGGCTGGTCAAAAATAAGGTAACCCCAAAACGGAACCCTGGTCAGAGGAACCATGGACTAAAATCTGCGGTCCATGTCCTGGTTTAATTTTGACCCACACCCATCCGAGCAACAGGCAAAACTGTTTGTTCGAAGGGCATGTCTTCGGTGGCTTTGCGGTTCGTTGGTTGGTCAGAATATTGCCAACACCCACGTAAAACGATATAAACTACAGAAAAATAACAACAAAACGAAGAAAACAATAAAGAACAAAAAGAAGAACAACACGATATTTCACTGCTTTTCCGGGCTTGAGGAAACCGGAGATGGACTCCAAGGGCTGAAGCCTTCAGAAGCGCGAGTCACTAAATTTCTTGGGCACTCCTGATGTGGGGGAAAAGCAGTTGGGAGGTGGTGGTTGCTCTTTTGATTTGTCCAACCCACGTTGCAGCTTTCTTTGCTGAGCAAGGTGCATTTTGTTGTTCAACTATTCGTCGTTTGTTCGATGCGGGTGACTCAAAGTTACAGGTTGCAGCTAGTTTCTCAATTGGAATAATTGGGTGCGGCTCAAAATAAAACAGGAGGGGCAAACCGCAGGTTTTGGTCCATGTTTCCACTTGCCAGGGTTCCATTTTGGCACCGTTTTTTGGAGCCGCAGCCAATTATTCAAGGAATCTACAAACATTGCTTCGGAATCGAAGGAACATTTCGACACCAGACTCCTCTGAGTTTGTATCGACCCGCCACCACTCAAGCCAAAGGCTTGTTCGACTGGATGCTCTTTAGTTCGAGCCTTTACCTTTTTAACCTTGTTTCGAATTGCTTCCACGCCGACCAGCAATCATGTGTTGGTAGCGACTCGTTGCTTTGCTTTGAACTGCGTCAACAAGGCGAGGGGTCAGCTAGAAACAGTTCAGTTGTTTGCGAAGGGCCATGTACGGCGCGATGCCAAGGACAAGTGCGAAATGTATATGATATAACGCACATTTAGATAAATGCAACGGCGTAGTAATACATACATGCATGCACGTGCATGTTATATGTACACGCACCCCCCCCCCCCCAAAAAAAAAAAAAACGCGCCCACGGGTTTTGCAAGGGGAGTCAAGTCATCGCAAGTCATGTTCGATGGATGTTACTAGAAGTGAGCTCATTTCGCAATGTTGGCAGACTTGCGCAGATGATTGATTCAGACTTTGCCATCCAGCCAGTAGAGCCGATGGGCGGAAGCTTCCTTCAATCATATAAGAACTATAGTTTTCTATATATATATAGTAGATATATTTGTTATGGTTGTTTTTTTCTTGGCTCCTTTTATCTTCTTCTTGCTTTCCTTCCTTCCTTGCGTATTTATTCCGTTCTGTCTTTCTTTCATTTTTCTGTCTGACGCTACTCTATCTATTTGTCGATCTATCTATCTACCTATCTGTCTATACCTATCTATTCATCTATCAACTGTTATCTGTGTATCTATCTTTCTACCTATCTTTATCCATATCTCTATCAATCAATCCATCAATCTATCTATCGATCTGTCGATCTATCTTCTGCTACGCATCTTCCATCTCTTACCCAACTCATCTGCAAATGCCCTTCGCCTGCAGCTCGCAAGCACCAACACATCTGTTAGATCTTATTTTCTGGGCCTGCGGCCTCTAGCCGGCTACGCCTCTTTGAAGTTATACCATGTCATGTCATGTTTTTTGTATGAGAAACGTATCCTGTGCTATGATCTGGCTGGTTAGGTTATGCCTGTTGCCCACCCCAACCCCAGATGATGCCAGGGATGCCAGCTTTCGGGGCCCTAGCCAGGACCCAAACCAGAAGGCTCACATAAGGTCGCGCGCGCGCGCGCGCCAGAGGCCGCAGAAACAGCAGCCCAAAAAGAACAGCCCGCAAGCCAGCCCGGAAACGCAAAAGCAACAAAACACCGTAAATAGCAGCGTTTTGGTGGCTGGGGTCGCGCGCGAGCGCGCCAAAAGGCCCAAAAACCAACGCGAAAAAAGCAAGGACCACGCAGCACGCGAGCCAGCCACAGCAAAAGCAAAACAGACAGAACAACAGCCCATCGCTCAGCACAGCAGTTTTTGACGGTATTTGCAGCGTTTTGTAGAGCGAGGACCCAGCATCGCCGGCATGCCCGGCAGCGCTTGGCGCCAAAATGCGCGAAAATGAGCCTCGCTGATATCCCTCCGATACCTTCTAAAAAACAGTGCTTTTTGGGTTGAGAGGCTTTTTGGAAGGAAGTCTGGATGATGCAGACCAAGCCCTGCTGAAGCATCTCCCAGGCCCAACCCCACACCCTGATGATGTCAGCCACATGGCCTAAACCCTGCATATACGCGATGTTTTGCGAGGGTTTCCCACAGGCAAGCAAAACCGCAAGCCCGAGCTGGTGATGCAGAGGTGCCGGATTTAGGCCGCGCATCGCGACCAAGTGGCGAGGGTCGGCGGCACCAGGGTGCACCCCCTGTAGCTAAAGCTAGCAGGCTAATTGCCTAGCGGCGACACGCTACCCCAAGGAGGCGTAGCCGAATTAACCAGGCTTTCTCCTGCTGCCGCCGACCCTCGGCGCATGAAGGGAAAAGTCATAAGGACCGGTCCTGAAACACGTCCGCAAACCCAGGGACCACTTATAAGATCCTCTACGACCACAAACAAGGATTAACGGAAAAGTCAGAAATATGGCAGCTAGTCCGTTAATGACCGCTTGGGCCGTTGCGCCCAAGTCACTTCAAGCTGGTGCAGGAGCAGTCGCCTCTATCGGGGTGGCCCTGAAACTGGCCCTCCCGAAGCTGCCCTGGGGACAGTTGCCCTGGACCGATCGCCGGTGTCGGATCCCACTTCAAACCGCTGCAGACACCTGGTGCCACCTCAAACCGCTCCAGACACCTGTTTCCTCCAACGGTTGAGGGGCACCGACGGCCTTGTTTCTAGGACCAGCGGCCCGTGCGGTCATTGACGGACGAGCTGCCATCTGTCTGACTTTTCCGTTAATCCTTGTGGCAGTAGAGGATCCCTGGATCTATTCTGCAAGAGAGTCCAATACGTCAAGTCAGACCGCGGGCAAGCCTGGGTCCCAAGTCCCGGTTTCTGCCAGCGCTCACACCAAGACTCGATCCCAAGCAATAATCCCACAGGACTCGTCCCAGGACCGGAGTCCTGGGACCAGTCCCAGGACCGGTCCCAGGACCGGTCCCAGGACCTGTCCCAGGACTGGTCCCAGGAGCGGGTTCGGGCGAGGGACCATCATTGGTTCCTTCCAGTTGCATCCCACGCCGGTCCCCTCTGCAGGAGGCTGGGCCGGGAGGCAGAGGGTCAGCGGATTTGCCTTGACAAATGCCACTCTATCTCCTAAACCAAGGAACTTTCCCTAAATGAAATCTGTTCTGCGCAAAGCTTGCTAAGACGCATGCGACACACTGGTATGTGCAGTGTGTTTGCAGTATCACAAGGGTTGGCGTGGATTTGTTTAAGTCATTGTTGAACAGCTATCAACTGTATTTTCCGCACACAAGCTTAAAAGGACGAGCAGGAATCTTGAATCCAATCTGGCCCCCTCCAAAATGCTTAAAGAGCTTTAAGCACTTTTGGATTTAAGGTTCGGGATTCTCAGGACTCTAGATCTGGAAACTTGAATCCACGAGCCACCTGGAGGAAAACGCGTTGAAGCATGTTGGGGGGGGCCAGACTGGATGCAAGATTCCGGATCTAGAGTCCTGGGAGTCTTGAAACTTGATTCTTGAATCCGAAAGCGCTTTAAACCACTTCAAAGGTTTTTTTTTTTTGGGGGGGGGCAGGCTGGATTCCAGATTCCAGATCTAGGGTGTTGAGAATAAGTGCTTTAAAGCGGTTTAAAGCATTTAAGCATTTTGGTGGGGGGGGCAGACTGGATTCAAGATTCCATATCTAGAGTCCTTGGAATCTTGAATACTGAAACCAAAAGTACTTCACCTGCCAACTTCTTATGCCAACTTTCGAGCGCTAGTTTACCTGCCAACTTCTCCTGCCAACTTTTCCAGAGCTATTTCGCCTGCCAATTTGTCACGCTTCCAGTGCTGTGTGCTTCTTTTTCGCGGCAGATCGAGACATCGCGGCATCTCGCCCGTGCTATCTTCAAACAGCTTTTTCTCAAATGAGGGAATGCCCAAATGCGTGAATTCCTCTAAATCACCTTTGAACAGAACCTGGAGTCTTCATGCGCTCTCCAAAAACGGGGTCTATAACAATATACCAAACATGAGTGGTTATGACCAGCTTTGGAGTGTCATGGACACTCCCTCACTTTCCTTTAAGAAAGGGAACCATAGTTTTGGGGCCATGACCAATTTTCAATTGTCAAAAGTGTTGCATTTGTTTTCTTGGCAAATCCACGCTGAAGCCCGAAACGAGCATTTACAAATAGTGGTTTCCCAAACAACCATTTTGTATGAGTCGACCTTCTTGATGGAAAATGGCAGTTTGGGAAACCAACATTTGCAAATGGTTGTTCAGGTTCCAGGGTGGATTTGCCCAGCAAACAACTGCGAACTTGCTGGACCAAATTGGTTATGGCCCCCGAATTTCGGGTGGTCCCCGTGTTATGGGACCAAGACCCCTCCCCCCCAGGCGGCACCACCTTCGACGTCTTCGTGGGCCAAACCAAGCTGACCGAGGAGCCTCAAGGCGAAGATCTGACTCGCGTGTCGGTGATGGGGGCGAAATGGCCAAAATTAAATCCCTTTACAACCCGGAAAATCAATCAAACAACAGTAGTGATAGATTCCCTTTAGAACCAAAAGGGGAAAGTCAATCAAACATTTGGCTGTGGGTCAAAAATGGGGTAACCCCAAAATGGCTTGGCCTGGTAAATGGAACCAAGGACTAAACCTGTGGTCCCCTGGTGGTGTAATTTTGACCCACACCCAAATGGCTAAAATTCAACGCAGATGACCAGTAGCATCTCCGGCAATCAAGACTCAGCTTGGTTTTTTTCAGAAGCCTTCCAGCCGCGCCACCGCCTTTTTGGGAACGGACTTGGAATTTCTGCCACGGAAAAATTCATTGCGCCCGCCAGTGTCCTTAGTCTTAGGACCGGGAACTAACAAACAACTGCTTTTCGTGGTTACTTCGGCTGTCTAGGTCCCCCAGCAATCGGTGCCAACTTTTACCCGTGCCTTTTTTGGTTGGGAGATTCGGTTCCCCTAAAATAGACTACAGAAAAAAGGAAGTTGGTACCAACTTATTCTCTTTCCTCTCTAACTGGAGGACCCAGCTGTACAGGATTGCGTGCGTCCACAGTATTGCCCCCTTTGGCAAGTTTGAGATCACTTTTTTGGACCGGCGTGGTATTCAATTCGATTCTGTTTAAGATCGAAGTTATCTTGTTTCAGGGGGTGAAATCAGAAAGCAACTGAGGTTCGGAGAATACATTCGGTCCATGCTCCATTTGGCAGCGACATGGAGGACTCGCTTAGAAACACTCGGCTCGGCGAGTATGGTCTAATGTTATAGGTCCATATTTGCGTGTCAGTCTTTTCTTCAGGTTGGATGGGAAAATTGAAGGACCCCCACAGATGTTGGGCCTTCTCAACCATTTGGACCGCTGCCATCAAATGGATATATGGATCGTGCGGGCGAGCTGCGCGCAAAATCGCTTCCCCAACATGGGCATGTTAGTAGCTGGGTTTGTCCCATATATGTCTTTTTCGAGGGGATTCCCTTTAACACCTACCCCCAAAATCCAAACAGGGTACCAAAAAGACGTACGCGCGTCGTTTTGGGGCCTGGTCCCGACGACAAGCCTATGAAACTTCCAAACCGCCTGGCTGCCTTTCAGTCCTATGTTGTTGATACCGTTTTTTTTGCGAATGGTTTTGAAAGGGAAAGCAAAACGAAGTCGTCTGTTTGGACAACCCAAATGGCTTGCACAATGAAAACTACACAAGGTTCTCGACCTTCTGCTCGTTCGGTGGGAGGGAGCAACCCGGGTTTGATTGGGGTTATAGTAAAGCCTATTAAAGAGATTATAAGCATGCTGCACGCTGGTAGAACCTAAAGTCCACGGGTTTTGGGCGCTTTCTTGAAGACCGCCCCCAAACACACACACACACAAGCGATCACACACACGCAAACACAGATGTCAAACGCACACAGACACAGACACACAGACACAGACAAGCATAAACATAGACATACAGACAGACAGACACACAGACAGACACACAGACAGACACACAGACAGACACACAGACAGACACACAGACATACAGACGCGACGCAGACACAGACACATACACACGATACACAGACACACAGACACAAGCACGCACACACACACACACATCCACACGCACACGATTACGCACTCGCACACGCACATGCACACAGGGACACACTTACACAGACATGTGCACATACACAGACACTTACTTACTCACGCACACTTACATGCACAAACAAGCAAGCAAGCAAGCAGACAAACAGACAAACAAACAAACAATCAATCAATCAAACACACACACACAACCAAACAAACAAACAAACAATCAAACAAGCAAAACAAACACACAAAAACAAAAACACAAACAAGACAAACAAACAAGCAAAGCAAATCCAGCAACCAACCAAGCACACTTGCAAGCAGAACCACACCCACATGTACACCTTCGCCCCGCCGGCCCGCCCGCATGCGCACACGCTGACACAGAGAGAGAGAGAGTGACAGAGAGTGACAGAGAGACTGACACACGCACAGACACAGACACAGACACATTCACACATTCACACACACACACTCGCACCGAGCATGTTGACGTGGCATGTGATTTGATTCTCGCTTTGATTTGTTCTTGCCGACACCTTTTGACGTGGTTTGGGACTCGGCATGGCTTTCTGACGAAATTTGTTGACCCAGGATTTATACACCCGTCCCATTATTAGGGTGGTGTTCCCTCCAAAAGTGGTGTGAATCCCCACTAAAAGGGGACACCCCCCCTATTCATCAACCAGGGGTTTATCAATCCGGTGTTCGGTGACCAGGCATTACATAGGCTTGGCTAGTCTCTCACAACCTTTCCCATCCCTTTCTCTCTCTTTGTCTCTCCATTTCTCTCACTAACCGCTCATTCCGGTCGAACCAAGGGAGACAGAAGGAATGGAGTATTCAGTGACCAAAAGCGGACTGTGCGGTGGTTCTGTCTCCAGGTATGTCCACTCGCTCTGGTCATGCAGCCACCTGGGCCCCCTGGTCCCGAACTTGCCTGCCTTGCTCACCATGCAACCAAACCCCCCGGCTTTCCCGGCTGTCCTGTACAGGCAGCGGTTGAGGTTTTTCGACCCGGCTGGATCATGAAGCCTCGCGTAGGTCCCTTCGAGGATTACCCCTATGCCTCTAAGCCGCAGATTTGGCGCTAGAGATTGCCGCTCGAAGAGTCCGGTCCGATCCGGTTTTCTGAAAGGAATAGTCTCAGTTGTTCAGTGGCACCCTTTTTCCCTTTATTTTTGGTGGCTGCCCCACTAAAAATGGTCTTCCCTAAAAAGGGTTCCCTTTTTTCCATTGAGTAGTTGTTCTTTTCCCTTGTTGGTTTAAAGGGAGTCTATCGCTACAGAAAAATATTATATGTTTTTCCATCGGGCGACAACGTAAATGGAAGCTAGGAGAAGATCAGCTACTTTGACCAGAAGGAAGCAAGAACAACTCGCAAAGATTTGCAAAGCAATCACCTTGCCCTTTGTGACATCACAGGGGGACTCCGAAGTTGTGGAATAGAGGCCTTGTTGGGGAATACCCACCGCCGGGGTCGCAGTTTGGAGGGAAGAACGCAGCAGTGTTCGGACCTGTGCTGGACCTGGGTCCTATCGCAGGTCCAAGGGACAACGATTCGGAGATGTTTGTTACCTTCGCATAGGTCTTCCATACTTTTGATGCTAGGTCCCCCAGGCCCAGCTAGGTGCCCTTTTACTGTTCCTTTTTTGGTTGGGAAGGTTTCCCTACAAAAATAGACTACAGAAAAAAAGGGTACCCTTATTCTAAATTCTAACCTCCCTACTGGAGGACCTAGGAGTCCTCTGGGCATTTGTGTTGCTAAATGGCTCTCAGCAGATGTCCGGATTTTTTTGTTTGGTTCTTTTTGTTTTCCTGATTGAGTGATTTTGGTGTGAAATGAGTGTTTTTGTGTGAAATAATCGAGCGCATTTTTTTTGTGTGTGTGTTTTTGTTTGCTCGAAATGGACAAAAACAGAAGAACTATATCCCAGGGAAAGGCGGCCGGCACCTATTTTTATTGTTGGGACTGTCCCTAAGCTTCATCTTACCGCTCCTAGGCCTTCCACCTGGAGTCTCCATGACCCTTTAAGAATAGGTCCATGACCCCAGTACTTAGGGTAATGCCGCCATTTTAAAAAAGGGTCATGGAGACTCCAGGTAACTCTTTACCTGGTTTTTAGGGTTCACCATTTTGGTACCAGGTTTTGATGATGACTCATATGAAGGTGCCTCAACTTTTCGTCAAAAGGCGGCTGCCTTTTACAGCATGTCACCTTGGGCCGTCGCAAAGCTCGTCCCATTCACTGATTTGAGGGTCAAAGGATGTATCCAGGGTTCCGCTGTTTGACTACGATCAGTGTAAACTTAAACCAAGGGGTGGTCCATACCTTAAAGAAGAGCGCCTGGGTTCAAGTCTATCTGGAAATAGTCAAAAAGTGGAACCCTGGATGTATACCCCTCAGAATTGTACGGGGGCCAGAGGAATTTCTCTCTGAATTGGGGTGGGGATACTTCCCGAATAGACACGGAGCCCCCCCACAGGGGTCTTGTTTCCCTTCCTCCAATGGTTTGCAACATCTGCGTGGTCAATATGGGATGAGGAATATCAAGTTTTTTTTTTTTGGGGGGGGGTTCTCAAAATCGTGAACGGCAAGTACAGGAAGCCAACCAGCACCCGCAACAACTTTGTTTGTTTTCTTCCATGTCCCGAATCCAACGCACTGTTAAAACAAGAGGTTATTGGGTGCTGGAAAGGAAGCCAGTTTAGGGGACCGATCCCTCACCTGCCCAAAGCAAATCGACCGGATCTGATCTTTGGGTTTTGGTACCCTTATATTTCTAACTCCTCTCTACTGGAGAGCCTAGGAGTTCGGGTCCAAGCCGCTTCGGAAGTGGGAAGGGGCCTGCTGCGTGAGTCTCTCCCGCCTCACCCAGCCAGTGGCCGCACTTTCCACTTCTTTCCTTGGCTCCACAAGTTTATTCAGAGGCCCAAAAAGTGGTTCGCACGTTTTTTTTTGGGTTGGTCGCTGGCCAAGTGATAAACTGAGGACTATTGCCATGGCACTGGGTGTCCACTCTGCTACTCCCCCCTGCAGACCTTAGTCATGACAGCGCCACCAGGGACTAAAGGCCTGGCCTCGTCGACTGTACTGCTGTTGGGTTGGTGCATTTTGCAAAAAACTTTGTGCTGATCGGATGTACAGCACAGTCGAAGTCGAGTGATGGGACGCTGGGATTTTAGCTGGGATCCGAATCCCCGTTGCCCGCTGAATTCACCGCCCATTTTCATCTGAGTGGTTGGATTGCATCGGATGTTCACTGGCGAACCGATTTGGCTTTTGAAAAGCCCATGGCCAGTGGGTTCGGTGTGTTGTAAGAATTGAGTCATTGGGAATTGGCTTTCTTTGCTCATTGGCATGCATGTTATGTATATACTTCTATAAATGATAGCCCCCCCCCAAAGCTGATTTCTTTGTCGAATTCAATCAAGGGTCATCTACAGAGGGGGATCGATCTGAACAAACAAGTTGGGACTGGATGACTTTCCGGAGTTTCTGAAGCGATCCCGGTGGATTGCGCCAGCTTTTGCATTTTTTTTGGGGAAGGGTTCCGATTCCTTGGAACTCAACCAGAAAAGGATGCCGATCCCCCGTGGAAATCCACTGGGCTGGGGGAAAGAACCATTCTGTCCCAATGAGCCATTGAAAAGCTCCATCAGAGTCTATCAGTGTATCACAGAAATGGAAAGAACCATTCTCACCCCGGTTTTTTCTGCAGTTTCTTTCTTGAGAGTCCTCTTCGCAGGTCTCTGTGTCGCTACAAACTCACTCATACGTTTGCTTTAAGTCTGCTTCCCTTGTGCAGCAATCCCATCCTTATGGAATGGGGAGACAATGGGTTCACCCTGGAATTTCATCGTTGATAGTTGCATGCTGTGGATGAACAACATCCTCCACCAGTTAGGATAGATAACACCGTATACATGCCGAGATAAATGACCTATCAAGTGGTGCAGGAGTTTGTCCATCATAGTATTGCCCCTCTTGAGGAAGACAGCACTGAAATCGGGGGATCCGGGACCCGAAAGGGTGGTTCTTTATTCTCTGGGTCAAAACTCCAAATACCCCACAAAACCCCAGTGCTTAAATGGGACCACCATATAGCTACTTTATCACTTGACTGCTATTGGGTTGGATCTTTAGACTGGGAAATGAAGGGGTTTTCCACTAACCCCCCACAAAGTTGAACTTTTTGCAGGGGGTCAACAGCAACCAAGATCAAGGGTATAGGCCATTTTTGTTTCGTTTGGGTGGTTTCAGGTTCATCTGCGCCAGGTCCGCTTGTCACGGAGTTTGTCAGCAGGAATAGGAACATGTGCCTCGGATGGTGCTGTTCCCGGGTTGGCCCTTTTCTTTTTTTGTTGACTTTGCGGTCAAGTTGGAAGCATGTGGTGGTTGTTTTTTTGGCTCAGTTGCACTCAGCTCTTTGGCTGTATCTGCTTAAACGAAGCGGGGCTCTCAGAAACGCCTCCTCAACTTCTAGGCTCATGCCGAGCATCAAGAAGGCAACGCGACACACTTGGGTAAATTCATGAGATGACCTTACCCATGAAGCAGAATCCGTTTTTGTTTGGGGCACCCCAGATTTTGGGTCAGTCGAGTATTATATACAATTTACCCAGATGCTTTCTCCCCTTGCTTGTCGGAACAAGGGGATCTTCCTTTCCCCCACTTTTGTGATACCAAGCAGCCGTTTATCCTCCTATGATGCCGTTGAGATCGAGCGTGGAGAGAACCCAACAGCCGCACTTTGTTTTCTGGAAGCGATTAAGTTGTCCCCGGACGCTGCAAAAGAGTAGAGTTGCTCAGGGAAGACACTTACCTATATAGTGATTCCCAGGCGTTTCGCCACCGTAGGCAACCAGCTTCATTTTCCCCTTGGTTTTTGAGGGTCTGGTTTTTTCATGGATACCTGAATAAAGATGGTTGCTGGAAAAGCTGCGTGTGAGCCACATTCGGACAGACATTTTGTGTCGCTAGAGTGAGCTTGCGCAGTTTCATGGAGAGGAGAAATGGAACCGATCCAACGAAGAAGCTCTTGAGCGGAATTGTGTGCTTCATGCAGATTAGGAGGTTCTAGTGATTGCCTGCACTGGGCCTCAACGCTTAGTCCAACGAAAAAGCTGTAGCTGGGTTTGCCTTGTGAACATGTGACGCAAATTTAGGATCAAAACCCGGTTAGACGCAAGTTGGGATGGCATAGTCCCAACCGTACATGGGTGGTATTCTTTGAATGATTCTGGGTAGGCCATTTCAATGATTATGACTCACCTTGGTATATTTTAATACTGCACCTCGCTGTCCTGCGTACATATCTGGCACAACTGGTTTGTGCACGGGCGTTACAGGATGGCCCACCAACAAGAGTTAGATGGCTGAACAGCGGGGTGTGACGATGTGTCGGTCAGGGACTATGTAATGGTAAGCACAAAGTCTACACTTCTTTTTTGCCACTCCACTCGATCGGAAGTGGGCCAAAGCGCTTTCAGGAGGATTTCCCTTTTTCGCATATCTTCGTCCATGTGCCCTGGTGGATGCCCCGTTTTGTAGGTATCCGTGTGCGTGTGTCTCCTAGAGGCTGAGTGTAGTACCGTTGGGCAAGAGGCTTGTGAAGAGCGCTTGGCATTGCAATCAACACAGAGTGGGTCAATCCTTTGTCGTTTTTTGTTTGTTTTGTGGGTACCTTTTTTTGTGTGGTTTTAAAGACAAACCGCACAAGGAAAACCACCATTTGGCAGGGTCCCCCGGAAAAGACACCCATTTTAACATCAGCCGGTTTTCGGCTTCTTTGGGGTAGGTCTGAAACGGGTATGTGCTGCTTCCCTTTCCGCCAAGAACAGCTCAGACTTCACTCGTCTAACATGGCGCCTGATCGCAATCTTCTAAGTTGGTAAGATGTGGCGATGAATCTCAATGAACAGCCACCTTCAAAGTGGTTGGTGAACATGAATCTAGGGGTTGAGTCATTTATTCTCCATTCTTTTCAACCATCGTTCTTTCCAAAAAACCGGATCCGTTTTCAATGGGTTTCCGGAGGTTTTGCAGAAAGAAGGATCCCTGGAAAGAATGTTGAAGGTACCCCTAGATGAATCTCCACCTAATTCTTGTCCGCCAAAGGGTCCCCGGTTAAACTTCACTCCCGGCTTCAATAGTTTTTCCTGGCCTAGGCATCTGAAAGTGGAGGAAGTGCGAGTTACCACGCCGATTCTGCCGCTCGAGTTGCAAGGCGTTCGCGACGGAGCCGATGTTCTTCGCAGATGTCGGGCGTGATTGCGTTTGGTTTTGCGTCCCGACCATGTCCAAAAACCGAAAGAACCATTTGCGGTTTTGTTGGGGCACCATGTTCTAAAAATCCGAAAGAATCATTTACAAATGGTTTCCAAACTGCCATATTCCATAAATGGTTGCAGGTTCCGGGTAGGAACTAGCCTTTAAATCCAAAATAACCTAGCGAGAGGCGCTCGTGCTGAGTTGGAAAACGGGGTTTGGACCATTGTAGTGGCCAACAAAAAGGGGTGGGCAATCCACTCAATCCAAAGTGAGCCTTTGGCGAAACGCATGGCATGCGCGGTTGTTTTTTTGTTTTGAGTTGGTACCCTTGTGTTGTTGGTTCTAACAGGAAGCCAAAGGCAAACCCATTGTTTTTTAATGATACTCTGCAATGTGGTTTTGGCCTGACCCCACCCTACTCACTATTCCACATTGTTTCTGACTCGTCTATGAGGGATACTGCACTGTTTTGGATGGGTTGGGTGTTTTGTTCTTGTTCCATGCTGAAAAAAAACTACCAGAACCTACCCCCCCCCATCTCTTCCATGTTGTCCAAATTCTTTGTATTTCAAACATGTCCAAACTCCCAAGGCCTGTCCAAAAAGCGGTGGGGTTGCTGCCAATCCGAGGTGAAGTTGCCGAGTTGGCCTCGGTCTGAGTCTCACCCTCCTGTCATAGGGAAAGCCGACCTGCGAATCTGGAAGTGACCCAAAGACCCGGCTTTTGGGATGAGTCTATGCCCAGATTTTATGCGAACCGAGAACGAGATCCGCCACGCTAAGAAATGGGCGCCAGGCATTTTTCCAGAGGCTAGGGGAGAACCCATGGTTACCAAACTAGGTCAATGGTCTTTTAGGTTTTAGAGGCTGGAATACTCTGCTACCAAGCTAGGTAGATGGCATGACTGATGGGCAAATGTTTTTTTTCGGCGGTCCGAAAGGGTCGAATAGAGGAACGGATTGCCAGTGCGCGCCTGTCGACCTGGCTAAAGGCTGGCCAAAGTAGAACGGAGAAAATCGGCTGCAGGTGTGAGGTTTGGTGAACATACGGGTGTGGGTCAAAAACAGGTGCCCAGAATGCAACCCTGGTAAATGGAAACATGGACTAAAATCCGGTCCCCTGCTGGTCAATTTTGACCCACACCCGTAGCAGCTTTTGTGTGGCAATCATTTGGCAGGAACATGGAAGAACAACTCAAGCAATGTCCCGCAAAAAGGTTTTCGTGACTTGCGACATGCTCCTGTGTCCTTTACAGGAACCACACTTCTTTGACCGACATATTTGGAACAGGGTTGCTCCAAGCCACTTCAGCTTGAGATGTCATAGTTCTTGGCCATGGTCCTTGCATTTTGAGCTTCAATTGTTTCGACAGCTGCTATGTGGGCATGTTCTTTTGAGGTTGGACCCCCCATGGTTGTTGTTGGGAAACAGTTTACATGTTTGCTTATTGTGGGTTGGTGGTTTAAATCCCCACTGAACTGCTAAATTTTAAATGTTTGCTTCCCTTCCAACGTCAACCAAGCCCTCCCCCCCAAATGGGTCTTTGCCTTCTGCGTTCCCTAAAACATCAACCAGACAGGGGTACCCCCAAAGAAAGACATCCATTTGGTAAGGGGCAAAATGGCAACCCAGCTACCACTGCAAGGCATCCTGATTAGACAAGGGCGCTGCCAGCGAGGGCGACAAGTCGTCGCAGTTCCATGTTAGTTGGGCTGTATGGTTCTGAGTGGCAGCAACAAGCGCAGATTTTGTCCCACCATTCCGAGGGTTTGTCAGAATCAACGAGTTGGGTCGCCTTCAGACACGGAGGGATCCCTAGTTTGACAGCTTCATGTTTATAACAAGGCGACAGGCCCTGGGGTTTGCTGAGCATGTGGCTTGCCTGTGCTGCGACTGTGGCTCATGCTAGTCTGTGGTTTGCTAATATATACATGTGCTAGTTGACAATGATTCTGCGGGGTTGGGGGCAATGCATGCAAGCGAATGATTCGAGGAAGCCTCATGTATCAGTGTTTCCGCTTGCACACGCCCTCTTGGCCGGCGGCACGAAAAAAAAAAAACATCCTGCCTGTTCCATGCGGCGTTTTGCCAGTTCCAAAAGGTGAATCCGTTCACTCGCTTCGGGCCAATCCGTTCACGGATTTGGGGTCGCTGGTGGTTTGGTTTCGGGCCCCCTCCGTGACTCCGTCATGCGTTCCGTGCAATGGATCCTGGTGACCGCGACGGCCGTGCGCCTGGAAGGACGCCCCCGAGTCAAGCGCTCAACTCGGTCCAGCTCGGGGCCCAAATAATCCGCTGCTTTTTTGGTTGGGAGGGTTCCCCTACTAAAATAAGCCACAGAAAACAGCGGATACCATCTTATTCTAACCTCTCTACTGGAGGACCTAGTCAAGCAAAAGCTTTTTTTCATGGCTGGGTTTTTGACCAAAGGGCCCTTCCTTTTGGAAACAACTAGGTGTTGCGTTACGCCTACGACGGGTGATCGACCTTTTGCTCATTCGCGGGGAGGTTTTGTCTCTGTTTCTGGAGACACCATTTTGTTTGCAGCAAGTTTGGCCCTGGCGACGTATGATGAACTCCGTGTTTTTGTTTCCACCCACGAGTTGTGTTGTCCGCATCTTTGTTTAAGTTAGCTTTGTGCGAGGCGACCATATTATGATCCCTTTCCAGAATCGCGACTTTGAGCGCAAGTGTCGTGCAGGATCTCTACATTAGTAGATCGAATATGCAACTGTTCAGTAGAGGTATGGCATGCCTGCAGTAGACTTTGGAAGCTGAACATGTGCCATCAGTCTGGGCACCTTCCCCATTCTTTCGAGGGATCCTTCTTTTCAGGAAACCATCAAAAGCCCAAAGGAACCAGCCGGTTTTTGAAAATAGCGATATGACTGAAAAGAATGGGGAATCAACCCCTAGAATCAGATTTCCTTGCATTACAAGACTCCGGGTGACCCAAAAGAAGCGCAAGTGCAGGAAACAGGCCTTTGACGGTGGGGGCCCCTTCGGTTGTTTAAGGGTCCGATCATGGCGATGGAGCAGTTATTCCTCACTTTCTGAGTTCCTGGACTTTAAAACTGTTTCGGAATATCATCTTAGTGGCAAACAGACAGTTGAGACTTGTTTGGCCAATCCACTCAGGAAGTGAGCTCCATTTACCTTGTTTTGTATGGTGTTCCCCACCCTTCAAAACGAAAAGGAACATGGCTGAAACGCCGACAGTCCACGAAAAGACGCGCACCGCCTTGTTGACAAGCCGATGAGAAAGTGTGCGACGCAAAACGCGAGTTCCATTTACAATTGAAAGTCTGCCTAGCACCAAACACGTTGCTGATTTGTTCGCCTTACTTGTAGGGCTGTTGTAGCGTAGTAGTCAGCAACCTACTTTGGAATACCTGAATGATCGCAGGTTAGCCTTGTTGATTGGGGAAGCACCTGGGATAGACAACGAAAAAAGCCTAGAGTGCAACACAGGCGCGGGGTGCTCAATGTACCCAGATCTGAATTGCTTGCACGACAAATGGACTAGAGGGCTTTATTTGCGACCAAACGCTTGGTTTGGAAACCAACTGGAGCAACCCCGGTGGGGTTCAGAAATTGTTGTTTCCCTAGAACTGGATTTTGATCCAAAGGTCCTTTGCAGGGGGTGACCATTAGGGACGCCACCAAATTGATGACTTTCACCAAGCGGGAAAGGTTAGCCATGGTCAAAACTGGGGGCCCTAAGTGGAATAAATAAATTGAATTGATCAAATTCAGGGTGACCATGAGGGAAACCGCCAACAAATATATGACTTTCATCATTGCGGGGCCCCTGCAGCGGAATAAGTGGATCAACTTTCGGGAAAAGACGCGCGAATTGCTTGGCGCTTGGTTTGAGTCCAGGACCTGAGAATTCCTCTGGCTTCCTCTCGCCAGGCAGGGGACTAAGGGGACTGGACGTTTGGCGGGGGGAGAGAGGGGCATTTTCGAGCGCAAAATTCTGGGGACCTGAACAAGGTTCTTTGGCAAAAAAAATGCCAAGGGATGTTGGGACTTTAGAACTTTTGCCAACTAATTTGGATTTTCCGAATTAAGCCCCTCAAAGTGAAACTTTTAGCAGGGGAGCAGAAAGCAACCGAGGTTCTTTGGTGGGGGGGGAGGGGGGGGGGGGGGGTGGCAGGGAAGAATGAGTCCTATGCGTCGCCGCGCGTTTTTTTGCATTTGAGCACCACTTCATGTTACATGCTCATGCACTCACACGCACACCAAAACTCTATTCCCACATGGTGCTACAGAGATAATATGCGCTTACCATGCACAAGGATACTGCTGAATAAATAGACACTTGGTTCAAACATGTGTGTTATTTTCTCGTGTGCATGTTTCAATTTCAATTTCATGACCAGCAAAAGAAATGCAAGCACGCAGCTAAGTAATATTGTCCGTGGCCTAACACAGGGCACAGGCGTGCAGCTAGGTTCGATGTCAGGAGACTGACAAAGGCCACAGGTGCACAACTAAGTCCTGTTTGCTAAGTATTCTACTTATCATCAGTCTTCGAATTCATTCTTATCATTCTTCCCAAAGGGACGGGTGACTTTTGGTGTTTGTTTTAATCATTTTATTTCTTAGACTTGCTCTAAGTATTCGAACCACTGCCAAAGGGACGGGTGCCTTTTTTGGAATTCAAGAGTCCTCTGCGCTAACTGTTCTACTTATCATCAGTCTTCCAATTGTAATTGTTATTCCCAAAGGGACGGTGCCTTTGGGGAATTGAAGATTGTTTTTGCAAATTATACTACTTAGCATGCATCTTCTATCTTTTCTTCATGAGTTCCAAAGTGGGACGGGTGACTTGGGAAATTCAGTATTCATGTTTGCTGGTTGTTTTTGTAGATTATTCTACTTATCACTCCTCTTCTAATTCATTCTTATCACTCTTCCCCAGGGGGGATTCAAAATTCTCTTTTGTTCTAATCATTTTTTCTTAGACTTGCTCTAAGTCTTCGAACCACTGGCAAAGGGACGGGTGCCTGCTTTGTTATTCCCAAAGGGACGGGTTCCTTTGGGGAATTGAAGATTGGTTTTGCAAATTATACTACTTAGCATACCTCTTCCAACTAGTTTTCTCATGAGTTCCAAAGGGGTGACTTTGGGGAATTCAATATTCATGTTTGCTGGTTGTCTTTGTAAAGTATTCTACTTATCAGAACTCTTCTAATTCATTCTTATCATTCTTCCCAAAGGGACGGGTGACTTTTGGGGAATTCCAGTTATTGTTTGTTCTAATCATGTATTTCTTAGACTTGCTCTAAGTCTTCGAACCACTCCCAAAGGGACGGGTGCCTTTTTGGGAATTCAAGAGCCCTCTGTGCTAACTGTTCTACTTAACATCAGGCTTCCAATTATAATTGTTATTCCCAAAGGGACGGGCGCCTTTGGGGAATTGAAGATTGTGTTTGCAAATTATACTACTTAGCATACCTCTTCCAACTAGTTTTCTCATGAGTTCCAAAGGGATGACTTTGGGGAATTCAATATTCATGTTTGCTGGTTGTTTTTGTATTCTACATATCATTACTCTTCTAATTCATTCTTATCATTCTGCCCAAAGGGACGGGTGACTTTTGGGGAAATCCAAATATTGTTTGTTCTATTGATTGTATTTCGTAGACTTGCCCTAAGTATTCGAACCACTCCCAAAGGGACGGGTGCCTTTTTGGGAATTCAAGAGTCCTCTGTGCTAATTGCTGTACTTCTCATCAGTGTTCTAATTATAGTTGTGACCTCTTCCAACTAGTTTTTCTCATGAGTTCCAAAGGGATGACTTTGGGGAATTCAATATTCATGTTTGCTGGTTGTTGTTGTAAATTATTCTACTTATCATAACTCTTCTAATTCATTCTCATCATTCTTCCCACAGGGACGGGTGACTTTTGGGGAAGTCCAATTATTGTTTGTTCTATTCATTTTATTTCTTAGACTTGCTCTAAGTATTCGAACCACTCCCAAAGGGACGGGTGCCTTTTCGGGAATTCAAGAGTCCTCTGTGCTAACTGTTCTACTTAACATCAGTCTTCTAGCTATAATTGCTATTCCCAAAGGGACGGGTGCGTTTGAAATTGAAGATTGTGTTTGCAAACTATTCTACTTAGCATACCTCTTCTAAGTATTTTTCTCATGATATGCAAAGGGACGGGTGACTTTTGGAAGTCAAAATATTGTTTGTTCCAATCATTCCTTAGACTTGCTCTAAGTATTCGAACCACTCCCAAGGGGACGGGCGCCTTTTTGGGAATTCAAGAGTCCTCTGTGCTAATTGTTCTACTTATCATCAGTCTTCTAACTATAATTGTTATTCCCAAAGGGACGGGGGCCTTTGGGGAATTGAAGATTGGTTTTTGCAAATTATACTACTTAGCATACCTCTTCTAACTAGTTTTCTCATGAGTTCCAACGGGACGGGTGCCTTCTGGGAAACTCAAGAGTCCTGATTGCTAATTGTTCTACTTATCATCAGTCTCTAAGTGCACTTGTTTTCCCAAAGGGACGGGTGCCTCTCAGGATGGAATATTCATGTTTGCTAACTACTCTGCTTATCATAACTCTTCTAGTTCTTCTCCCAAGGGACGGGTCACTCTTGGGGAAGTCCAAATTAATTGTTGTTCTAAACATTGTGTGTCTTATACTTGTTCTCAGTGTTCGAACCACTGCCAAAGGGGCGGGTGCCTTTTTGGGAATTCAAGAGTCCTGTTTGCTAATTATCATCAGTCTTCTAATCATAATTGTTATTCCCAGAGGGACGGGTGCCTTTGGGGAATTGAAGATTGTTTTTGCAAATTATACTACTTAGCACACCTCTTCTAAGTATTCTCTCATGAGTTCCAAAGGGATGACTTGGGGGAATTCAATATTCATGTTTGCTGGTTGTTTTGTAAACTATTATACTTATCATAACTCTTCTAATTCGTTCTTATCATTCTTCCCAAAGGGACGGGTGTCTTTTGGGAAGTCAATTTTCTAATCATTTTATTTCTTAGACTTGCTCTAAGTATTCCAACCACTGCCAAAGAGGCGGGTGGCTTGTTGGGAATTCAAGAGTCCTCTGTGCTAATTGTTCTACTTATCATCAGTCTTCTAAATATAATTGTTTTTCCTGAAGGGGCGGGTGCCTTTGTGGAATTGAAGATGGCTGTTGTGCAAATTATACTACTTAGCATACCTCTTCTAATTAGGTTTCTCTTTATTTTGAAATGGACGGGTGACTGTTGGTGGAATTCCAAATTTATGTTTGCGCTAATCATTGTGCGTCTTATAATTGCTCTAAGTATTCGATCCACCCCCAAAGGGACGGGTGCCGTTTGGGGAATTCAAAAGTCCTGTGTGCTAAGTATTCTACTTGTAAACCGTCCTCTAAATACAAATGCTAGTCTCAAAGGGACGGGTGCGTTTGGGGAATTAAAGATTGATTTTGCAAATAATAATACTTCTCATAACTCTTCCAATTAATTCTTCTCATTACTCCCAACGGGTGCCTCTTGGGGACTTCCAGATTCATGCTTGTTCTCATCATTCTATGTCTTTTCATTGCTCTAAGTATTCGAACCACTCCCAAAGGGACAGGCGTCTTTTGGGGAATTGAAGAGACCTGTTTGCTAAACAGTCTACGTATCATCAGTCTTCTAAATATAATTGTTATTCCCAAAGGGACGGGTGCCTTTGGGGAATTGAAGATTGTGTTGCGCAAATTATTCTACTTATTCCGAACTCGTCTAGTTAATTATTCTCATTATTCCCAAAGGGGCGGGTGCTTTTGGGGACTTGCAGATTCATGTTTGTTCTAATCATTCTAAGTCTTTTAATTGCTCTAAGTATGCGGACCACGCCCAAAGGGACGGGTGCTTTTTTTGGAATTCCAGGCCAGTCTTTCACCAAGGGACGGGAGCAGTTGGCGAATTCCAGAATCATGTGTTTTCTAATCATCCTTCGTCTTCTTCCCAAAGGGACGGTTGCCTTTTGTGGAGTTTCAGATTCAAATTTGCTCTAGTTATTCTACTTTTTACAACAAGAATCATTCTCTAACTTGTTCCAAAGAGGGGTACCTTTTTGGGAAATCCAGCATACATATTTGATAAAGTTATTCGAATCATTCAAACAACTCGAACAATTCTAATGGTTCTGGATACTTTCAATTGGCCGGGTGCCATTTGGGGAAGTCCAGATTCATGTTGCGCTAATCATTCTACTTCCCTAGTTATTCAAATTTATTGATTTCTTCTTAAAGAAAGGGTGCCTTTTGGGGAAACCAGATTCATGCTTCTTGTAACTTGTTTTTGTGGATTTCCAGGCTCTTCTGTTCTGATTTCTAAGTGTTCCCAACGGCACGGGTCCCTTGTGGGGAATTTCAGATTAATGGTTGCTCCCATGATCCCAATTATGTTCTTCCTTCTATGTATTCCCAAAGGGACGGGTGACGCGCGCCTTTTGAGGAATTCCAATTCCAGAGTCATGTGTGTGTTCCAATTATTCCTATCTACTCAAATTATTCTAACTATTCTTAAAGGATCGTGTACTTCTTGAGGAACTCAAGATCTTATACTTATTATACGTGTTTTGCTTTTGCTTTTTCAAAGTACTCAAATTCTTCCAAGGTGAATTCCAATAACTCCAAAAATTGCAATAGTTGGGGGTCCCGGATTTTGCAATTAATTATTGCAATTGTTGGAAGTCAGTTGCAATTGTTGCAAATATTGGAATTAGTTGGCCTGAATTGGGGCCAAATCTGGGATCAATTCATATCTACAATGGAAGTATTGGAATTCAACTCCAATGATTGCAATAATTGTAATATTTGAAGGTCCCGGATTTTGAATTATTGCAAATAGTGGAATTGAATTCCAATAATTGCAATAATTGAAATATTCGGAGGTCCCGGATTTTGCAATTATTGCAATTATTGGAATTGAATTCCAATAATTGCAATAATTGCAATAATTTCAGGTCCCAGATTTTGCAATGATTGCAATTATTGGAATTCAATTCCAATAATTGCAATATTTGCAATATTTGGAGGTCCCGGATTTTGCAATTCTTGGAATTAGTCGGCCCGGCTTTGAGGCCAAATCTGGGATCAATTAATTATTGCAATTATTGCAATTATTGCAATTATTGCAATTATTGGAATTGAATTCCAATAATTGCAATAATTGCAATATTTGGAGGTCCCGGATTTTGCAATTATTGGAATTGAATTCCAATAATTGCAATAATTGCAATATTCGGAGGTCCCGGATTTTGCAATTATTGCAATTGTTGGAATTGAATTCCAATAATTGCAATAATTGCAATATTTGGAGGTCCCGGGTTTTGCAATTATTGCAATTATTGGAATTGAATTCCAATAATTGCAATAATTGAAATATTCGGAGGTCCCGGATTTTGCAATTATTGCAATTATTGGAATTGCATTCCAATAATTGCAATAATTGCAATAATTTCAGGTCCCAGATTTTGCAATGATTGCAATTATTGGAATTCAATTCCAATAATTGCAATATTTGCAATATTTGGAGGTCCCGGATTTTGCAATTATTGCAATTATTGGAATTGAATTCCAATAATTGCAATAATTGCAATATTTTCAGGTCCCGGATTTTACAACTATTGGAATTAGTCGGACCGGCTTTGATGCCAAATCTGGGATTAATTAATTATTTCAATTATTGCAATTATTGCAATTATTGCAATTATTGGAATTCAATTCCAATAAATGCAATAATTGCAATAACTTCAGGTCCCGGATTTTGCAATTATTGCAATTATTGGAATTCAATTCCAATAATTGCAATAATTGCAATAATTGGAGGTCCCGGATTTTGCAATTATTGCAATTATTGGAATTCAATTCCAATAATTGCAATAATTGCAATAATTTCAGGTCCCGGATTTTGCAATTATTGCAATTATTGGAATTAGTCGGCCCGGCTTTAAGCCAAATCTGGGATCAATTAAGTATTGCAATTATTGCAATTATTGCAATTATTGGAATTCAATTCCAATAATTGCAATAATTGCAATAATTTCAGGTCCCGGATTTTGCAATTATTGCAATTATTGGAATTGAATTCCAATAATTGCAATAATGCAATAATTTCAGGTCCCGGATTTTGCAATTATTGCAATTATTGGAATTGAATTCCAATAATTGCAATAATTGCAATATTCGGAGGTCCCGGATTTTGCAATTATTGCAATTATTGGAATTAGTTGGCCCGGCTTTGAGGCCAAATCTGGGATCAATTAATTATTGCAATTATTGCAATTATTGCAAATTATTGGAATTCAATTCCAATAATTGCAATAATTGCAAAATCCGGGACCTGAAATTATTGCAATTATTGCAATTATTGGAATTGAATTCCAATAATTGCAATAATTGCAAAATCCGGGACCTGAAATTATTGCAATTATTGCAATTATTGGAATTGAATTCCAATAATTGCAATAATTGCAAAATCCGGGACCTGAAATTATTGCAATTATTGCAATTATTGGAATTGAATTCCAATAATTGCAATAATTGCAAAATCCGGGACCTGAAATATTGCAATTATTGCAATTATTGGAATTGAATTCCAATAATTGCAATAATTGCAAAATCCGGGACCTGAAATTATTGCAATTATTGCAATTATTGGAATTCAATTCCAATAATTGCAATAATTGCAAAATCCGGGACCTCCGAATATTGCAATTATTGCAATTATTGGAATTCAATTCCAATAATTGCAATAATTGCAATAATTGCAATAATTGCAATAATTAATTGATCCCAGATTTGGCCTCAAAGCCGGGCCGAATAATTCCAATAATTGCAATAATTGCAAAATCCGGGACCTGAAATTATTGCAATTATTGCAATTATTGGAATTCAATTCCAAGAATTGCAATAGTTGCAAAATCCGGGACCTCCGAATATTGCAATTATTGTAATTATTGGCGGGACCTGAAATTATTGCAATTATTGCAATGATTGGAATTCAATTCCAATAATTGCAATAATTGCAAAATCCGGGACCTGAAATTATTGCAATTATTGGAATTGTTGGAATTCAATTCCAATAATTGCAATAATTGCAAAATCCAGGACCTGAAATTATTGCAATTATTGCAATTATTGGAATTCAATTCCAATAATTGCAATAATTGCAAAATCCGGGACCTGAAATTATTGCAATTATTGGAATTGTTGGAATTCAATTCCAATAATTGCAATAATTGCAAAATCCAGGACCTGAAATTATTGCAATTATTGCAATTATTGGAATTAAATTCCAATAATTGCAATAATTGCAAAATCATTATAATTTCACTTCAACAATTCACTCAAAGCTGGAGCCAGCCTGAACGACACATAGGGTATGATCTTCCCCCTTTCGGGGGGGGGGGGCGGGCTTGGGGTGAAACGCCACGGTGTGTTTTGGGGTTGGTGTCACATTTCTCGCGAAAGATCGGCCTGCCGGAAAAAGGGAATCCTTAGGAATCCTTCAATGGGTCGAAGGCACACTCCTAAATGCAACGCACATATGGGGGTTGATCAGTTTATTCCATTTAGGGCCCCCAAACGACCACGGGTAGCGTTTCCCATTTCGGGGAGTTGATCATCTTTTTAGCAGTTGTCCACTATGGTCATCCCATGTAAAGGACCTTTTGATCAACCCCCACATAGAATTGAGATATATGATATGGCTTAGGGGTCTTCTATTTCAGTTGGGTCTTGGCATTTGAAAAGCTGTGCTCTTCTGCATCAATCCGCCGGACGTCGCAAAAGCGGCCGTGTGTTGCCAGACCTTCAGCGGTGGAGGGGGTGTTCAGGGTCCCTCAAAGGACGATTTGGGCACCAGCACCCAACCAAATGGGTTTTCCCATGTTCAAAATCTCAAGTACTGTCAAGAAGCAGTGGTTCGGACGCTGGTATGCATAAAATTTGGAATCGGAACCCCCGAAATTCTGACGTGTTTCTTTTGGTCTCCCCGAAAAACCAGCCAAGGTACCCTCAAGAACGGATGAGCCACCCATTTGGACATTTGTCCAGCTGATGTAGGGGATCCAAATCCTTGTAATGCAAGTTTCTGAATGCATCCTTTCGGGATCCCTGGTTTCCCTTTCAAATGAACCTCTAGCAGTAACGTCCCCATTCTTTCGAGGGATTCTTCTTTCTAGAAAACCACCAAAAACTCTGGGGAAACAGATCTGGTTATTGAAAACAACGATGGCTGAAAATAATGGGGAATCAACTCCTGGAGAACCAGGAAGAAGGAACAAAAAACATGCCCTCACATTTGGGGGTGCCCATGCTCAAAAAAGTTGCGATGCGTCATGTGGGTACGTGTACAAACGAATCGGTAAACCCACCAGGCTTGTTGCCTCGGTTTCCTTTTGGCTTCCAGTGAAGAAGCCACCCCAAAAGGCGACCAATTCCTACAAAAAACACACACACACAAACACCCATGTTGACATGGGCTTCCTTCAAGAGGCCTTTGTGCTGAAGATGATCTTCCCAACAAGCCTTATCCTCATTCATTTTATCTATTGTTGTTTGGGGTTGAAGATGAGCAATCTACCCAGTTGCCCAGTGGCGCCCCTTTTTTATATCCTTTTTTTTGTGGGGGGAAGGGTTCCGATTCCTTGAAACTCAACGAAACTAAAATGGGATGCCGATGGTTTTTGTTTTCCTCCATGGAAACCCACTGGGCATTTGAGTCGAAGTCATCCGAGTTGTGCCAAGCACTATGCTTCGCTCGTGATCCTCGTGATCCGTTTGACCGCCCCAGCCCTTTGGTTGCTGGGAGCCCGCGTTGGAAAAGGCTTTGATGTATTTGGCATGTGAGTTCGTTCACTAGGATCTTAGCAAGGAGAAGCTTGCCCTAAACAGTGTTCTTTGGGTTTTTTCCAAATTTTGGGATCCTCCCCATGGAGGAAGCCAGTGCTTTCAGGGGCGGAATGGCCCATGTCAGATAGTTGGCAAAGCGGCAAAGTGGTAGGGATGACCCACAGAAAGGGTCAGAAACCCGGCTCCTTCTCCCTTTGTCTACCACTGAGGATAGGTGAAAGTAAGTTGGCCAGTTGTAAGTAAGCTCCGCAGTATCGTGAATGAATCTTAGGGCTCTCGCGGTGTCCAAAGAAAGGTTCCCGACTTGTTAACCGTCAAAGTGGGTTTCAGTTGCCTTGAAAGTGCGGCCGTCAAAAGAGCGGATCCGGAACCTCTCGTGACTCTCGTGGATGTCATTTACATTTCAAGGTTTGCAAAGACTCAAACCTCTGTTTGTTGGTTGGGGAGGGCGATGTGGTGGGAAAGCAGGGGTTTTCGGGCGGCTTTCTGCGCCGAGGCAACCCTTGGACCCCGCTTCAAGGTGATGAAGTAGTCATGAGAATGCCAAGCCCAGCGCTTCCTGGTTACCTGTATGCGAAAGTACATACCCCTTGTTCATACCCCTTGACTTCCCTCATTTCCAACCCACTTATAAGTGGTATACACCTCTGTTGGCGAGAAGGGTATGAACATCAGCAGCCCTTTTGAGTTAATTTGCCCAAGGGGTATGCAAAAAGGGGTATGTACAAGCACCCCTGGCCGCCATTCACAGTAGACATACTTGGCTGTGGGTCAAACATAGATACCCAAAATGGAACCATGGACTAAAACCTGCGGTCCCCTAGTGGCTTAATTTTGACCCACACCCACTCCTTAAGGCGCCTTGCGTTGCAGACCTGTCGGCCGATTTCTCTCTCCTGTGCCAGGCAATGCGACGGTGAACCACACAGCGCTAGATGCGCGCCTTGACAAGCAATGGCCCTCTGCCAAAAGCGAAATCGAAGTCTTGTCTTACAATACCTGTGTTCATGAACTTTAAGTTTTTGGGAAGACCATTTTAGTGGTAAATATAAAGTTTGGACTTTTTATTGGGCTATCCACTCAGCAAGTGAGAGGAGGGGAACCGCCCGAAGGGAGAGTTTTCTTCCGGCTTCCCTCTCAACCCAAAACGGGTACCAAGTCCCATAAATTGAACACATGACCTGTAAAAGTCCTCAGCCTTCAATCAGAGGCTGGTGCCAACAAGCTTCGAACATGAAACCCAATTGGTTACAAAGCCCGCCCCGCATCTCTTGGGATCCTTTGATCCTTTGATGAGCCAAATGGAAAACCCAAAGCGACCAATTCCTCGTCCCTCAAACACAACTCAGATCGAGGCCCCCAACACTTCAATCGCGACTCGAAGCGGACCTTTTGGGTGCACCATTCCAGCGCAAGGAGTTTAGACTTGTTGTTTGCGCGTCTCGGGGGGGGGGTTGAGTCAATTGCGCCTGAAAAATGGAGCGCTCCGACGAAAATGAGTTAAGACTTCCATTGGACTCTTGGACCCAGGCCTGGGGCTCCCATCCAGCCCCAAACTGAAAGGACTTTCTTCCATTGGCTGAAATGAATATGGGCTTATTTTCCCCTGTTGGCTTTCAAGGCAATCTATTTCATTTTTATCAGTGGAAATATGTTTGGTTTCTCCAGGGGGCTTCAGCAAATGGCGGCGGTTTTGAGGGGTACCATGTTTCGGGGTGGGTTTTGAAGGGTAACCAAAAGGAACGCAACCATTTACATATTGGTGGTTTCTCAGTTACTACCATTTTAGAAAAGGTCTTCTCATAGGACATGGCTTGGGAATTTACAATGTGCGAATGATTGGACTTTAGTTGCTGGTTGAACCACGTCGGATTTTCCCACACACCCCAAGGAAAACATACAAAAACCAACAAATAGTGAAACTTGTTTTGTAGAGGGGTCCATACCCGCCCCCCCCCCCCCCCAAAAAAAAAAGAGAAAAAGGGTGAAATGTTCTTTGCAGAGAGGTCCTCACAACCCGTGCTTCGGACCTGACACGTCCGGAGGACCGAGAACTCCACCGGTGATCTCGCCAGCGAGGCCGACGGGGGCGGCCACGGGCGATGTTCTAGGCGGTTGAAAGAACATGTGTGGGGGTTCTTTTTGATTTCCCCCATCCAACCGGTTTACCCCAAAAGGTATGAAGAAAAGAGTGACACCCAAACATGGACCTAAGGTACCATGAATCTAGGGGGTGATTCCTTTTCCATTCTCTTCAACCATCGTTCTTTCCAAACAACGGATCCGTTCTCCCTGGGTTTCCGGAGGGTTTATAGAAAGAAGGATCCCTGGAAAGAATGGGTAATGTACCCCCTAGAGATGTAGAAAGTCGAGTGAGTCCTCTTTGTTTTTTTCTTCAGGAATCGGACCCCCAATCCAGTGAGTGCTCTGGTTGGGGGTTTCTCTGTTTTGGCTTAAGGAATCGGACCCCCCTCCACTCGCTTCACCGAAGGAATGCCAGGGTCTGACAAATACCAAAATGGGTGCGTCTCTTTTTAAGCGGACGACCCCCCCCAATGGACACAACGGTTTTCTGGATTTCCTTCTCAAAAAACAAAAAGGTACCAGGCCCCCCCGATGGCCGGTAATTGGCGTCCTGGGTGAAGTGCCGGCAATTGACCAGCACTTGCTTAAAAATGGTTTTGTAGTCACATAGACTTTTTTGCCATCATCAAAGTGCAGTGCAAAGTCACTTTTGTTGAAACGTCACTTCAGGATACCAGACAGGATCCGGTTGAGGGGTTGGGCTGACATGTATGATCATTGCACATGCAACGCGCGGGGGCGGGAGGGGGGGCGACACGCTAGTGACACGCTCACATCCCAAAAAAGTGACCGTTCAACGTACATGTGCCGGCAATTGGCCACCCCCCGACACGCCGTGACACGCCGTGACACACTCCTCAAGAACCCCTCCCAACCTCAAACTTGCCCTCCAAACCTCAAATTTGCCGCTCTCCCCTTTCCCCTGCAACCCCATTCCAAAGGACCCTGGAAGGTCACTTGTATCATTGCACAAATTGCACTAAGTACAGATGAGTGATACTTGCTAGCAAATTGGTTTTGCAGTCACTTAGACATAAAGTGACATCGTTTTGCCCAAAATCGATGTGCCGGCAATTGGCCAGCCATTGGGGGTCCAATTTGTTGATCTCATAATTCAGGATGTTGCCCATGGCTCTTTGGCGACAATAGAAAAGGACATGGCAATTCAGACCTTTGGAAGGTGCTGGTTTCGGACTGGTGAAAGCATATTCTTATTATCATTATTATCATTATTATTATATACATGTATTTGCAGATTCAAAGATTCCAAGGATAAACTGAGGGAAATGCATAGTGTTTTCAGTGGAATCCTTGAAAGCCCCTTTTTTGCTTAGAGGGTTTCCCGCGTGATCGGCCCCCCAAATCCGAAATCGATGTTTTGCTCAGGGAATTCTGCGGGATGGCCCTTGTCGGCCTTTTTGAGAGTCACACAGCCAAATCTTCAATGCAAATCAGTTTCCCCCAGAAAGCTGTGGGGCCGATAGGCCCAAGTAGGCGATAAGGGGTGGTTTGGGGCTGCTTTCAAGGAAGGTTCAAAAGGAGGGTTCCAGTCGGTTCCGGGGGTGTTGCGGATATCACCTGAGCTTTTTTCAATTTTTGGTTTGAGAGGTTCGGGCGCCTTTGGAATCCACTACTAAGAAAAGAGTGCCGTTTTCAACCGGCAGTTGACTCCTAGACATGTTGACTGCGCCTCATGTGTGTGTGTGTGTGTCAAACCAGCAACGGGACCCTTGTCATATTGGAAAACTAAGGACCCCCTTCTGGGACAGTTTGCAAACCAACACGTCGCCAACTGTTTGCTTCAAGCGGCCCAGACGTTTTTTTTGCTGTTTTTTTTTCAAATGATGCTGGAAGAGCTACTGGCAACCGTTGCACACTCTGAGCACAGCATTGTTTCCAGAAATATGTCTGTTCCGAGGGCGCCTATTCAGCTGGTCTCTGCTTGATTGCCCTTCGGAAAGGAGGAGCCAAAGGCCGGTGTTTTGCCTGAGCAGAGAAGGAAGAGATCTGGCTCTGCTGAAAAAGACAATGCTCGCTACAACACAAATGCCAGTTCTATTGTGTACTGTTTCCGTTGCTGCTGTTGCTTCGGTTGCTTCAGTGGAAACGCAAGCCTTTGACCTCGGCTTTGGCCCATGAATGGCCTGCGGCTCGCAGGTGGAGCAAGCAGATGCCACGCTTCTGAAGCTCGTGCCGCAGGCGCGTGGGGCCTTTAATTTTCAATCTTGGGTCTCCGCCCAAACATTTTTGATATCTTAGGCTGACGAAATATGAAACCGAACTTCCGAAAATATATTAATTTATCTGTGTGGATCAAGTTTGGGGGAGGTAGTTTTCAGGAAAACCAAGAATAAATAAGCCCATGCCATGGATTGTTCCCCCTTGACACCTACCCAAACAAGTTGTTTATCGGGTTCCGCAATTGACACCGTGGCGTCGAGGGTTGGAAAGCCATTTGTGAGGGGGCTCATGTCTGTATGCAGCCCCCCAAAGATTCGTGATTTCTTTGATGCAGTAATGCAGACCCGCGGACCCTCCAATGGAGAACCCCGACCCCTCATGGGCAATCAAACTGAACTCATTTTGAAACCCCCAAATCAATCGGGACTCTTAGGGCCATTGGGCTCATTCGGGCGTCGAAGAAGAGAATGATACGTGATCTGGGGGACCATGTCCTCGGCTCATTGACACATGGTTATTTGCGGGGATGTGGTGGGGTTTTGGTCGGGGTGGCAGTGAATGAATGGTTATAAAGATTATATCGAGACTGAGATAGAAGGACATACGACAGAAGACGCAAAAGGGTGAACATACATGAGAGCAATGTTGCAAAATAATGACTCAGGAATGGGATGGGAGACTGTCAGCGGTTCTGTATGGTACTTGGGATTCCCCGCTGCTCCGTGTGGGGTCTCTACGGGAGGCTGCGCTGGTCAACACGGGCTTCTACTCACTCCAAAAAATCGCCTGGAACTTGATCCTTTTTCGGAAGATAAGTTTCAGGGGTAAACAACGCTTCTTTGTAGTCAGTCCACTCAATGGGAAGTCAGTTTACCGCTAAATGACTTGGGATGCTGGGTCGCCTGAGGAGTTTCGACGAAAGGGAAGGTGATAGTTGCTTACTCTCTTGCCACGTGGCGCCCCTCTTCCTTCTTTTTTGGGAACGATTCCCCTTTAAGATCAACTAGGTCCCCCAGTAGGGCAGTAGGGCGTTTTTAGCCTGTTTTTTGGCGGACCTGCCAAAATAGACTACAGAAAAAAAAGGATGCCCTTTAAACTCAACCAACCAAAAAAGGATGCCCCTTTTTTCCCATGGAAATCCACTGGGCATCTGAGCTTATGCCGCGCTCCTCCTCATCCATTTCTGGTGCCTCAGAGGGATGCCCAAGTGTTGTTTCTAGTTGCGCACTGAAGACATGGCTTTTCAGGTTTCTGAGAAGCACGCCAAGGAAGTCGGGTAAGCATATTGCAGTCCAAAAACTCCGAAGGTTTAGTTTGCATTCGTTTTGCCCAGGGTTTTTACTCGCAGAGAGTGTCATGATGCTTGTTGGGACTTGCATCCGGAAGGAGTTTTTTGTTTTGTTGCAGTTTTTCCTAGCTTAGATTTGTAGATCTCTTGCGACATGTGAGAGGTTGACTGTGGGCTGTGTCCGCCCTTACCACGCCAGTACTTCAGGAAACCCTTAGTTGGTGGTTTGAATTGGTGGTTTGGGGATTTGATTGAGCCCCTGGCTTCTGTAGAGGGTACATGGCCAACCCTTCCTTAACCACCAAACCACTGTTTTTTTTCCACCCACCAAACAAGGGGAAGCTGAGTACTGTTCGTCCCGCCAGGAGAACCAGACAACATCTCAGGAACACCAGGATGCGGCCGATAGCCTGAACTCCTTTGAGCTGCTCGGAAGCATCTTTGCTGGTCTCCTGGGGCCTGAAACAACCATAGTGTAGCCACGTCCTATGAATAGACCTACTTGGTGGACAATTGCAGTTTGAGAAACCACCATTTTACCTGGTTGTTTCAGGTTCCAGGATTTCCAGCCCCGTATATTAGCAGCTGCTTTTTCCCAGATGCAAAACCCCAAGTACTGTCCACCCAGCAGATCCGGACACTTTGCAAAGGGGACGGAAAGGAGCAAGTGCTTTTGGCACAGGGCTCAACATGTTTTCCCGCCATTTAGCAAAAGGTCGATTCGCCCCCCGAGCAGTTTCAGTACGAAAAAACTGAGATGCCAACTATTTGGGTTTGCCCCATTTCACGAGACCCCAAGAACTGGTGACTTTCCCCCTTTGTTGGGGCCGATTCACCATTCTGTTCAACCATCGTTTCTTTCAAAAACTGGCTGTTGGTTCTAGAGCCTTGGCTTCCAGCGCAGACGCCATGCGAAAGGGGGAAACAAATTCAAGAAGAATCGATTCGTTTCGCAGCATCTTCCATCAATGAGCTCCAAAGGCCATGAGTGCGTGGACCGCACGACTCTTCGCTGTAGCTGACATGTTTCATACAAATTGTGGAGAACGCATTTTCTTGCTGGTGTGATAGGTAGGGAATGTGGTAATGAACCCAGGCTTTGGTCCCCGCAAAGGAAACCAGCAGTTGGATGGTTTAGTTCGGGGTCATTCCATTTCTCATTCCCTGCTGAGATCTACTGAGCACCAGCAAGTTTTGGCGGTGTTTGGAAAATAACCTCATTGCCAGGGCGGGTCCATGCTCGATCCATGGACAGACCAGCTCTTTGTCTCCGGTTTTGACCTTCAGCATGCACAGGCGACAGTGCCTTTCACTTTCGACTTGTTGAGCTACTGCATGTTACCTTCACTGTTGGTACAGAAGGTGCTTATTCATTGCTTGCTTTGTTGGTCCAGTTGATTTTTAGGGTGGCTGCAAAAAAGGAAGACACGTGTTTTTGCTACCATACCAAGGGTCGCAAAGTGTTTCCCCGACTGTGACCATCACTGCCGCCTGAAGGAAGCCACTTTATCTCGTCAGCCCTTAGGTGCTGGACCCGCAGTTGTTTGTGAGGTGTTTTTTGTATTTCTTTGTTTGTTTCTATGGTGCGAAATTTGGTGTTAAGCAATTTTGGTGTGAAATTGCTTGTAGGATTGTCATGCTTGTAGGATTGTGTGTTTGTTTGTGTCTGTTGGTGAGTGTTGTTGTGGTTGGTATGTTCTTGGTCCGAGGCTTGTCCATTCATTGGAATTGATTTAGATCGTCTATTTGGCAACCCAGACCAGCACCTAGGTCCCAACCACTGCTTTGTTGGACTGTACTTGGATTTTCGGACGTGGTTGAACATGCAGTTGTTGAAGGGTGTTCCTGCTGGTATCGTTCTTGGACTGTCGCTTTTTCAGGGGGCCCGCGACAAAAAGACAGACAGACCCATGAAGCCTTCGTTGAGGTCACGCTCAATTGGTGGATTGCATTGGTGAATTGGGGATTTGAACCCTGGCTCTTGTAGACGGTAGACGAATTATCACGTCTCTTTGCACAAAACCCTTACTTTGGTGCATTTTGCTTGGATGTTAGGACTTTAACTTTTTGCCAACTAATTCGGGTTTTCCGAATTAAACCACTAAAAGTTAGTCACTTTTAGCAGAGCAGAAAGCAACCGAGCTTAGTTGCTTGTTTTCCACTCTACTGAACCATCCATAAACCACCAATTCGACTTGACTGCTATCGGGTTGGATCTTTAGACTTGAACTTGTTGGGTTGAAATAAAGGTGTCTTCCACTAAACCCCCAAAAAGTGTCAACTTTTTGCGGGGGTCGTTGCAGCCGTTTTCCAGCTTGTTTTCATGTTCAATTTCATCTTTTTCAGTTGTTGATTCTCTTCTATTTTCTGCAAATCCATGTTTTTCTTCTTACCCACTAAACCAACGGGCTCCAAAGCGCCTGTTTGAGTGAGGGCTGCTTCGTTTTGGGTCCTAGGAACATGTTGGCATCCTCCATGGGCAACCAGTCTACCAGCGGCCTCGTGGGTGTCTCCAAGAACTCCGAGGGGGACTTCCAGACCATGCGCACGGCTCTTCGACCAAACTCGGCGCCCCCGGCCCCCGTCCCTCCGGTTTTCCTTAGGTATTTGTTGGGTGCTTTTTGGTTTTTAGGGTTGTTGTGTTTGGCATTTTGGGGCGTTTGCAGTTTTTTGGGGATTTTTGGGTTGCCTAGTGGTTGGGTTTCCATTTCACCCACGAAAAGTGAAGCTTGTAGCCGAGTATCTGAGGACAGCCTGGCAAAAGAACACGGCGGATTGGTCAGGGTTAACTGGATCCCCCCAAAGGTTGACGATTTACGAGTGGTTTCCCAGGGCTCCGTAAAAGATACATTTTGCCCTTTTGAACCATGTTGCTTCTTCAACACCAAAATAAAGGGAAACCACCATGTACAATGCAATGTTCAGGTGTATAATGTAAGGATCCCTGTTTCCCCTGCAAATGTCATCTTTGCAGGCCCGAAAGAGGGAAATGGAGAAACCTCTGTTGGGGCCCCTTAAGAAGCTTTCGCACTTTCAGGTGCCTAGAACAAACGTGTTGTGTCTTTCTTTTTACGGAAAGCCATTCAGGTAAGCTTCAGGATGTCACTTTACTGCGCTGAGCGGGGCCCCAAACCGAAGGCCGCCCCGAGCAGCATAGGCACACAAATCCCTGAATATGATCAAAGAGGACTTTTTTTGTTTGAAAGGAAACCCGTCGGTTGGGTTGTTTCAAGCAGAAACCAGAACCGGACCCATTGTTCGACCCCGCATGAAATTGGGTTCCACCATTTGAGTTTCGGTGAAGTTAAGTTGGCGCAGTATGTGTTTTCTGAGTTGGGAGTCACTTGACTTGGATAAACTGTGTGTGAATTTGGCAATGCAGACGCTGCTCGACGCTGAAAAATTGAGCCCTTGCGACAGACATCCTGAGCTGCTTTTGGGCAAGGAGACAATGTCTATCTAATCTCCCAGTACCAGCCGTTGCTGGAGACTAGTTTGACCGTGTCCGGTTCATATTGCCCAACAAGTCCACAGCCAGTGGAGGTCGCACAATTGATCTTGCCTGGGTTGGCTTGTGAGAACCCGGATTGTGAAGCAAACTATAAACTATACATTCAACTGGGCCTAACTCCAATCATGGGTCGTACTGCTTCAGAAACATCCCGACGCTCTCAAACTCTGAGGGCTGGCATGTCAGACAGGTCCTACATGAAGGCTTAGATTTTTTGAAACGTGCACAGTAAAGTAGCAAAGCAGGACCGATATGAAACCATTTGTGCAGCCAAGTACCCTGGAAAGCTCTGCGATTTAAGGAACCAAGCAAGCTTGCCCCTTGCGATGATCATCCAGACCATGCAGAACAAAAACTAGCCTTTAGCCACGTAATGTCTTTATGCGATTATGTTCGAAATGCACTTCTTCCAATGAAGCCCATCGCGTCCCAAAGCCCAAACTGGTGGTACCTAGAGTTTCTATGACCCTTAAAAAGTGGGTCCATGACCCCATTTTGGCTCATGACCAACCAGTTGTTCAGGGTCAGAAGGAGACTCCAGGTAGATTTGGGGGAGGTTTCTTCCCCTACTAAAATAGACAGAAACAAGTTGGTACCAACTTATTCTATCCTCTCAAATCTGGAGGACCTAGCACACCGGCGGATTCGACAATTTTGGACGCCGATGCGCATTGCATAAACAAGCCGATGCACAGGCGGGGGTCTTCAACCTGGGCATGTCCCTCATCGCCTTTTTGGTCTTCAGCGTCTTCCGCGCCTTCTTCCCAGCCGTGTACAGCGCCGAGCCGGAGCAGGAAGCTAGATCTGAAGCGCCGGAGCCAGAGAGCGCCCGGGAAAGCCCACAGCAACGGCCTTTGTTTGGACGGCACTGGGGATTTTGGACA